AGAAAGAAAGAAAGAAAGAAAGAAAGAAAGAAAGAAAGAAAGAAAGAAAGAACGAAATAAAATGCACAACTTTACAATCATTTGGAGTCAGTTGGCAAGCAGAGGACTGTAAAGATTCTCTCTCTCTCTCTCTCTCGAGTTTAAAGCTGTTCTCGTGCAGGCCCAAGCAGGAGGGGCAAGCAGAACGCTTGCAATGCCACAGGCTTGGGGCTGCCTTTGTCAAAACAGTCATCATGTTCAACAGAGTTCACTATTTGGCTCACGCAGGTCACAGCGCTGGAGGTTCCTTTGGCCCTCGCTGTGAGCAGTGATTATCCAAAGTGGGAGAGATGCATTCCGGCGCCCATGTTGAAAGCAATTTGATTGATGGAGAAGAGAGAAGCAAGTACCTCTTGTTATATACTAGCTTCTTGTTGCTAGCGATGCCCTTGTTACTAGCTTTTACTTTGTGAGATGCCAAGATTGTAAGGTGCCATATTTGAGCAGTATTCAATGCAGCATGGATGTGATCGCAAGCGTGGCTCCATTGCTGCATTCTGACGGCCCTGGTGACGGATTGATTACAGTTGAGTCAGTTGAGGCTATTTTCAAGATCATGAAATGCCTGAAATATGGAATCAAAAAAAATAATTAACAATACTACAATTACCGTATGAAATTATACCAGGTAATCTGTAGCAAAGTGTTTAAGTGAATTGCAATGAGTGGATGTGATTTCAGCTGGCATGAACATGGTGATTTGGTGATGTTTTGTTGCATTGTGGCAATGTGCTGATTTGGTGCTGGTGAGGTGTATTGTGGTGATATGGTGTGATGTGGCCTGAAATGTAATCTGGTGTTTTAGTGATGCTAGTAGGTTGAAGGTCATCGCTAGTAGGTTGGGCTAGTAGTTGGAGGAGGCCATCGCTAGTAGTGACTTGTGATTTGGTGAGTTGTATGCGGTAAGTAGTCAGGGTAATGAAATGCGCGATGTTTTTTGAATCTGTGGTTATGCAAGAACGAATGCCCTGTACGTCGGGCTTGTTTTCCACTTGAGCCAAAGTGCGTGGTACACTTCTTGATTTATGCGATCGAGCGGAATGCGATTCACACTCCCCCTGGCTTTCTTAAAGCCATTCATGGAATCGAGCGCCGTTGGTAGGTTTTTTCGTCTACCGCTGGCTGACCTCGAAAAAACTGTCCTCGGACTCGGATGAGTCCTCACGAACCCTTGAGGTTCCGGAAAAACCGCGACGCGGCTCCCAAGGGTCTCCAGACCGGGGCCTCACTGGCGCTTGCGTGGCTATGCCCATCCAGGTTGGTGTCTCCTCCTCGGAGTCCTCTTGCCGTCGTTGGTCGTGATCAGGACCTCGATAGCCTTCTCGGCAAGGCGGAGCTAAGTTGTTCCGCACAATCCTCCAGCCTCGTGCCGTCACCTCTTCCAAGGATGGAGGTTCCTCTTCATCTTCACTCACCAGCGATCGCCTCCAGTCTGCTCGCTCGGCCTCACCCGTCATGTCCCGCATGATGGCCAGCCAATCATCACATTCATCATCGCTCAGAGTGGTGCCATCATGTCCACCTGGACCCTGTGCCCAGTAGGTGGCCGGGTCATAGCCCTGATCTTCACCCACATAATGCAAATCTCGTGACCCACTAATCCCTCCGTATATCCGAGGGCAGAGCCGCCAACAGCATCGAAATCCCCCGTTGCTCAACACGCTTGAACTTCTCCGGGACCGGGAGCTCCCACCACTGTTGTGCACTGCTACTCAAATCCGACATCAATGGATGGACCACTGTCAGCCAATCCCCAAATTGGATTGAGGCGTCCCCGCTGCTAGGGCTTGGCAAACCTCACCGCCTCTGGGATAGTCATCCCTGCTTGTTCTGGTCGTTCCACAGGAAATCCTGGAGGTCGTTCTACCCCTCCCTCTTGCCCAGTCGACCTGGGCCTCCTCCAGACTCTCCCAAACCAACTCCCGCCTCCTTCTTCGCCTGCTCAGCTGCTGCTGCGCTGGCTGCTGAGGCATAGGATGAAGCATCTTCTGTAAGCCGCCGGATCTCCTTGGCGAAATTGGCTTCGGCCTCCTTCAGGATCCACTTCATTAGCTGCTGGACCAGGTTCCTGTTGAGGCGCTCCCCTATCCCCCACCATGCGTCCTCTTGAAGTGCTCCAAAACGGGTTCACCTCCACACCTGGTGAGTCATAGGGATCTAGCACCTTGGGTACACCTGACCGCTCATGCTCCCGGCCTTGAGCAGGGAACAGCTTCCCTTGCTGACAGGGCCTGGAGGGCCACATGTGTCACCTTTGAGAGCGACGGGATGGCTGGAGGACTGTTCGAGGCACGAGCTGGACAGATGGGCCTGGGGCGACTTCAGGACACTGTTCGACATGGTCTGGAGGCATTGCACGTTGCCCTTGAGGGCTCCGGGTCTACTTGATCCTCTTTTTCGACCGCACGATCAAGGATATCCTGGAGGGCAACTTCCTGCAGCTTGCCAAGTACCAGTGTCGCCCCAACCTACGGGGGTTCTGTTCACCTCCTGGTACTCGACCTCCACGGCCATCTCCTGGATCACCTCCTTGTACTCGTCGAACTCCAGGATGTCCAGTAGTTGGTGCCGCCTATGCTCAGAGAGCAACTGGTTCAGCCGCCGGTCAGCCACCCCAATCTCTAACTCTCCATCTCTGTCCCCTTGCCTTGGCCGCTGATCACCTCCACGATCATCATGAGCTTCGCGGCCCTCACCGCTGTCCACAAAACAGTCGGAGGTGGACTTCAACCCAAAAAGAAAACCCTTGGGCTCATGAACTGTGGTTATGCAAAAACGAATGCCCTGTACGTCGGGCTTGTTTTCCACTTGAGCCAAAGTGCGTGGTACACTTCTCGATTTATGGGATCGAGCGGAACGCGATTCACAGAATCATTTGATGTGGGATGTGGTGAGGTGCCATCGGAAGACCAAAAATACGAAAGAAACACCAAAGTCCATCACGCACATGAGTAAGCCATTTAGGAACAAAATCATGTTGAAGACACGCTCAAAAGCGATGATTTTTTGGTGTGCACCGAACTGCAATGCCAGCATTGGGTGCAATCACAGGCAATCACTTTATCCTTGGTATCAAGAAGCATTGTTTGTGCATACAAAAGCACTTTGTTGTCACTGATAGCAAAGCTAAGACCATCTTCTCTCACCGCAATGTTGGCCAACACAAGTTGACAAGGCCGTGACAAGGCCCAACATTTGATGCAATATCGTATCAGGCGCTCCAGACTCACATCCCAAACCCACTATCCAGATGCCTTACGTTTTACAGATCGTTTCATGGCCTGCGCTTAGCCGCATTTAGCCGCTAGCGGCCTGGCGATCGAACGCTTTCTCGATCGTCACGAGAATCGGCACGTTGGTCCAGCCTCCGACTCCGAATTACCTTTTCCCATAGAGGTATTCTTTCCGTACCTTGGAAGATACCCACTTAAACGTTTGTGATTATTTAGTGAGCCAAACGGAACTTGCCTTCCCAGGAGGTCCTTGCTTCAAGTAAATGAAGTACATTACATTGTATTACATTACAATTCCGAGGGAGCAAGTGCTTGCTTTAGGTCTGCAAAAGTATGCAAAAGTGCTTAACAGACATTGGGCGTTCATACCGAATTTGAACGCCGCAAGTTGTGAATGGGAGTCCGATTCCTACAGGTGCAAATGCGGCATTGTGCGCTGCATTTCTTCTTACCTCGCTGGCTGAGAGGTGGGATCATGTAGCTATGTAACTGTTAGGCGACCGCATTTGTTCACAAGAGCCTAAAGCAACATTGGTTGGACTTGGCAGGCAAACTGATTGGGCAGGGTGGTTCCCTTTTTGCGGGGCCTTTCCTCCCCTCCCTTTTCTGTTCCTTTGGTGTCACAATCACCCCTTACTGCCCTTACTCTCATTGTGGTCCCTGATTTCACACGTTTCACACTCTTTTGATTCAAGTGTGCATCAGCGTCTGAGTTTGCGTGTCCAGATTCTCAGACGACGCCCCGCGTTATGTGTCCTTCGGACCGGATTGTCTCAGACCGCCTTGTTTCTAGCGCTAAAAGCAAAACAAATTGTGCCCCTAGTAGCGTCCTTGCTCCTAGTACCCCTAGTAGCGTCCTTGCTCC